GAAAAATTAGACAGAAGGCAAGTTGTGGTTACCACCCATGCATATTCATATATGCATGTGTTATCCAATTGATTTATATTGCTCCTGCAACTGCCAGAGGAGCCACACATTGTACCCAGCACCAAGTGAAGTCAGATCCCACCTGGCTGCTTTTGGTGAATGTTCATCTAAGTAAAATTGCTGCACACATTTTGAGAAACTTGAGAGTCTTATTGCTTAGAAACCGAACCAGACTGAAAGACAAATGAAGTTAGAAATAGAACCAAGGAACAAAAAAAAAGCAAGGATAAAATTTACCACAACAGAAGATTAATCTGATGATAAGAACCACTGAGTAAGAGAAGAACAACTGAGTAAGAGAAGAACAACTGAGTAAGAGAAGAACAACTGAGTAAGAGAAGAACAACTGAGTAAGAGAAGAACAACTGAGTAAGAGAAGACAGGACAAAGGAGAGCACAAGACTGATGAAAGAAAAGGAAAGAGGATCAGTTGAGGTAGGTTGTTGAAGGTATTTTCTCACCACAGTGGATACAGAAGTGATCCAAGTGATAATGATGAGGAAGTTGACAGAGTCAAAGAGTGGAGAGTAAAATATTTGACAAAGATGAGCCAAGTTAAGAAGCAAAAGTGATTAGAGATTGAGTGTCCAGTAACAGTTAAGTTGAAGAGACGAGAGTAAAGGGAATTTCAAGAGAGAAGAGTCAGGGAGAAGATGGAATGAGTACTGCAGAGATGGAATACAACCACAGATGTGAGATGAAGTTAGGTTTTGAGATATGAGATTGAGGGTTAGGGTTAGGCATGAAGATTTTGAGTTTGCTTTGGAGTTCTTGATGAGTTGACCTTGACAGACAGATCACAAGGATTTCAACAATTTTAATTGAGCACCTTAGATTCCTCTTTCAGGTATGACAATGCAGTCTATCAGCTTGTGCTCAGAGAATTTGTAGCCCCTTTTTCCTCAACATTGGTCTACTACACATAAAATTATAATGTCAGAGAAATTATTTTAGTTGGCTCAATCAAACTCACTTGACCAGCCACCAGGACACCTTGCTTCACATCAGTTCCCATCAAAAGAAAATTATCTCAATCCTCAGCCAAGGGAACAACCTGCGACATTAGGCTGACAAGAAAAGTAGGGTGAATTCTTTCAAATCCTCCAGTTAGTATAACTTCAACAGCATTGGTACCATGTAATTGTTTAATACAAAAAGGTCCTACAACTAAATCTCTCAATTGTTTTAGGGCAGGTCAGATTTGTAAAATTAAGGGCCTGTACCATGGGATTCAATTTTGAAAATTTATCATTGTTCCTGGCTTCTACACAAATATTGAAAACAATTCAAGACGTCTGCTGTTGAAATTCTTCACCTTTAGGCCAAAAACTATCTCTTTGCAATGGTCACTTTTGATGATATGAGAATTTGAGGAAGATAAATTCTCAGAAATTGGATTTTCAAGCCCTTCATTACAGGCCCTAAATGTATATAATAAGACTTGGTCTACAACTTGAAACTGGTGAGCTTTATGAGTTAATCCCATCAATCTTGTTGTAATCTACAGCTTATTTTACACATTCTGCCACATATTTTTTAGCTTTGGACATCATAAAATGGAAATTCCTAAAATTAGCAGCCTCAGGCCAAACAAAGCCCCTGGGGTCTAAATCTGTGTTCATTTTAGGCAGCATTCCTCAAATTTCCTTGTAAGCCAATCTGCTGAGTGCCGTATGGTAAGATGCAATTGAATTGGTCAGGGTTACAAAATGTTAGAAAAAGTTGCCACCCAACAGGGTTAATGGGTTAGGGTTGGTAACAGGCAAGAGTAATAAAACCATGTGCAGTGGAAGTGGTTTAGTTCTTACAACTATTCACTCTGGAAATGCAGTTAAATAACAAGCACCATCAAAATTTCAAGAAAATATATTTCTTTATCTGAGGGGTGGTCAAATCCACAGTTCACATCAGGTGATAAAATGTAGATATTAGAAGGTTGCTAATCATTTTCTCTAGTATTACTTGCTGACAAGACAAGATACAAATAGAAACATTCTGATGACAAATCATAATGAATTGTTGCACCCTACAGGGTGAACAGATGACATCAACCCCACTCAGGCATCGTTGGGTGAGGGTTAGGCCCACAGGCTAAGAAACAGAATCACTTGGTTAAGTATTGTGAACAGCTGAGGGAACCTATGCCACCTGCAAAGTATCTTAGTTTTCACAAAGTCAAGGCAGCAATAAAAAGTAAAACTTGCTTACCTGGCCAACGGTGGGCAACCCAACTGGGACCACTATTCCCCCTCCTCTCCTCAAGTGGTTATGGGCTCCAAAGCCCTCAAAGTAATCAAGGACCTCAATGGACAAGTTCTTCAATACAGGCACAGTCAGGCATGAATGATCTGGGTGGTTGGAGGGTTAGGGTTATGCAAGAGAGAGAAAATTAGGATTTGTTGAAAGTGAAGGGGATGGGGTGGGGGCAAAGTGCCCAAGAGCTGAAGGCCTTATAGGATCAATGCCATGGCCATGCCACCTCATCAACTGATTAGCAACCAAAGAGTGCAGCCAGGGGTTCACATCACAGGGTCTTTTGTTACCATGGCTATTGCGTAAGGGGAAAGGCAGCTGAACTTGTTTTTATAATTCTTCAATTTTGACCAAAAAATCTGACATCGCTGAATCTGCAGCTAATCTCCTCTGCCTCTGAATGGTGCACAAAGTGATAGATGAAATAAAAATTGTCATGTGTACAAACTTCATTATGAGGGTTGAAATAAATTGGCACCCAAAAAGGGTAAAATATTAGGGTTTGTGACAGGGGAGAGTAAAGATAGAATTCAGAGTTAACATTAATTACTTCATACAAGTAATCTTTTGAATCAAGACATCTTCAGCCCACTGCTGGTCAAAATCTGCAAGCTATGAAGATATGAAACCACCAGGGGAAATTCCAGGGCACTGGCCAGCCAGTGACTGAAAGTCTCAACCAAGTCAGTGTGAAAGATTTGAAAAAACTCATCAAAATCACTTTGAAGATCAGCATATAAAATGTGTTTCACTGTTGATTCACTGGGTTTTACCCTGAACTTATTCTTGGTTTCCTAGAAAAGGTCTTGAATTTCCTCCAAATTTCCCTGATGTGGACACATAGCTGTACCCCAAAAGTCTTATTTTTTGCTGATTAAATTATAATAAAAACAGAATTTAAGATAATTTTAATGGAATAAGAAGGTTTTTGGGAAGAGATATCTCAGATTTGGACCGAAATCAATTTAAGAAATTTTGCTTGTAGCCTATGCAGAAATAGATTTAGATCTCTCAGACTTTGGTTGATTTTGGAAGCACTATATCTAGATTAAGAGTGTTTGAATTTGGAAGCACTATTTCTAAATTAAGTTTTTGAATTTAAAAATTAGAAGCACTGTTTCTAAATTAAGATTGTTTGAAATTGGAAGCACTATTTCTTAAGTAACAGTGCTTGAATTCAGAATCCCTACTTCTAAATCAAACTGCATGAGCTGATGATTTGGAGGAAGTGTTGGTGTCAAGTATGCACAATCGGACCAAACTGAAATGTCTTACAGGGTGAATATGGATATTTTGGCTGTATCACTGGAATTTTCAACAGTAATGCCAAATTTGTTGCTCATACTTAAAAAAAAATCGTGAAAAGTTTACAGCTTGAATTTCAGATAGAAAAAGGGTTTCCTTCAACATCAGCACGTATATGTTATGATAATTATTTCCCTAGGACTAATTTTCATTTGTATTTTCATACATCCCCTCATATACCTGCAAAAAAAAATGTCAAATTTGGATATCATATTCATTGAGTAAATGTTTTGATAACTTACTTGAACAACCATTATACCCAAATCAGAGTCGATTCCTTCAAGGCTTCCATAAAAGTTAACCCGATCTCCATCCTTAAGCTTGGTTCCTTCCGGGATCCTTATGTGATTGTTATCTAAAAGGTACTTGGCTCTCAATGAGTTGCAATCATTCTGTTTCTGAATATCAGTAGCAATTCATTCAATTTCCTACTTGCATTTACCACTCACATTTACTGTGTGTCCTACAATGACTTCAAAGCTGGGAACTATTCCTGATTTACACTCTTCTTTCACTGAAAGAATAGTTCCATCACTGTAAATCATCACCCGTTTTTCGTGTATTTCTTTCACATCTTCTCCCACAAGCCGCGCATCGTTTGGTTTGTAGTTGAACTTCAATCCTCCTCCAGATGATTCCATTGTAATATTACCACTTATTGTATAAATTCTATCACTTTCCAGATCATGGCGACTAATCCAAGTAGGGGAAAGTGAAATCGAGCAGGTATTCCATCCGTTTGAGTTTTGACCTGAGACGAAGCAGTGGCCTAATGTTGGTTTTATCTGCTTTTGATTAACAAGCCAGTACTAAATATGAAACCCAATGTTAGCTTATCACTTTTATTGAAGTAAATGATTATTCACTTACTGAATCGTTTATTATTATGTATCCCCAAAATTTGAGTTGATCGGCATTTGGTATAGTGGAATCACCTTTGATTTTGTATAATCTATGAATTATCATATTGGATTGTATTTATTGAGCTCTAATACTAACAATGCAGAAATAATTTGAAGGATGGAAAGTTGATCGTTAACTGTTCTCACTGCTGATCACACTTTTATTTGCAGTAAATTAGACTCGGTTTTCAAGTCTTCCACTTTTACTATATTCCAAAATCATTTTACCCTTTCTTACTGGTTTGGCTGAAGCCCATGTCTCTTTATCTCCACTTAATATTCCCCCTTGTATTCCTATTCAGCTGATCATGCCGAAACCATCGATGGAGTTCTCTTGATGTGGTAGAGTTTTTTTTTTTTATTTGTGGGAGCAAATTCTGAGCTCATTCTTTTTTATCTCGGTTTCTTTCACAAATTTGATTGATATACAAGATTTTTGTATTTTTTACTATTTGGTTTATCTTATATTCCTTGGCAAAACCACGAAAAATGAATTCATTTTTTGTTTAAGCATTGTTGATGGTGTATGTTTGTCAAAATTTACAAAAAATTGTTCACACTACCAAATACTTGGTTTAATCCTGATATCACTTTATCTCCCCTCCTCTTCATCTCACTCTTTCATTATTGGTCCAAATCATTTGATCGATTGCTTATGTTGCATTTTTCACCGCTTCTTCACATCTGTTCAATTTTATTTTTAATTCAATGCATATCGATTCTTGTTGTACATAACATTACATATTTTTTTTTTCTTTGTGTATGTATTTGGGCAAGTACAATGACAAAAAATCAAGTGTTTTTTACCAACACATGCATTGTTCAACTCAAGTGAAATTTATATCTCTTTCAATTGTTTCTATCCGTGATGATTTAGCTAAATGTGTCATGATTTGGTTGTTGTTTGATGACATTGACAATGCAACAGTCACACGGCCGAACAACTGGGCAGTTCAGCATGAGCATCTCATCGGAGGCGGAGAAAGATGGGGCTTTCAGTGTTTCATCACAAGCTTTTCGACACTGCCCAGGAAGGGAGCTTGAAGAGGTATATGTGTGTCATTGTCTTTCTCTGATCAAGCGATACAGCCCCCAACTTCCCCAAAAAGCTATTCAACCACTGACTTCTTTCATAGTTATAACAATCACTCAAAATAATTACTTAAAAATAAACTGAAATGGAAAATGACGAGAAAGAAAAGTCCATTCGTGATAGTGAGGATTGTTAGTTTACCCCTTCAACTTGACCATCCCGATTATCTCATAAGCTCATCTGATTTCCCTTGATCACAAATAAGTTCAAGCTCCATGTGGGAAGCTTTTCTGTGTGTTAAACGCTTACTAAGACATGTTAATTCTGATTAATAAATCCCTAAATCTAGTGTCAGATGATCCTGTTTCAGATAGATATTCCGAGTTGAAGAAAAGCAACACTATCCAAGAAGGTTTAGATGTACCTCAGGCCTCATTTGGTATGTATTACTGAGCATTATTTCGATTATTCCCACAAAAAACTCACGCATGCCTGTATTTTTGAAATTTCACCATGATAAAAAAAGCCCCTCTTCCATCCTCTTTGATCAATCAACCAAAAAAATCTGATCCTGGTAGGGAGTGTGATCCATCTGATTATGAGTTTTATTGTTAACTGATTTGTTGAAATAAAATGTGACAGGAAACATGCAGCGTGGAAATTCAAGACAAAGCAGTTAGTGTTCCATTGCATGATTTTGTTTTTCTTTTGATTAATTAAATTGACAAATAATCCATGATGAAACACACAAAAAGACGTATCTTCTGCAGGAAGTGACACAAGTGGTATGTCATTCCTTTGTGTATGTTTGGAATTGTATTGATTTTGGCTTATAAGAATCTTCAATTAAAATCAAGGGACAAAAAAACGAAAGACTCAAATCATTGGGAAAGCCTCAACGAGAAGAGGTTCATCATCGAGGAGGGAGGGAAGATCTGGTGACTCTCATACTGGAAGTGATAATTCTGCAGCCATCCAAAATGCACTTACTAGTACTCGAGAAGATTCAGCACCAGATGGTGTTGAAAATCTTCATCTTATCCATAAGCCAAATTTATTGAACGTGCTGGAGGATGGAAGCCCAGCTATAGGTGATGATAATGGTGAGGCAGAATCAATTCAAATTTCATATGTTCATATTTGCTGATGTTCTTTGAAAAAAAAATCAAGAGTCAACCGATACATCTGCTTTGGTTTCCAAGCATCTAGTTCCCCCAGTTCCCACGGTTATCATTTCCAACATTGGTGAAAGTCGCTCTGATAATGATCAACGTAGTCAAACTGAAAACACCAGGACAAGTGCTTCTGAATTTGAGGTAAACTCATTACTACCGGTGGTTAAAATGCGCTCCAATTATGATCAACGTAGTCAAACTGAAAACTCAAAGACAAGTGCTTCTGAATTTGAGGTCAACTTGTTGTTACCAGTAAATGCTGATAGTATTCAAACTCGAAATCAAGGAGAGGCTCAACCACTGGTTGAAGGACAAGAAAAAATGCTTCTAGGTGAATCACATATTCAAGCCCAAACCTTGAATCCTGATGCCAATGAAAACAACAGTGATGAGGAGAGAAGTGCTTGGGATAAACGTCAGCAGAGGGAGTTATATGAAAGTCAGTTTTTTTATACAGTCCACCGAGTAATTTTGAGCATTCTTTGAAATTAACACATTTTTTGTCCAGGTGATGAAAGTGACGATTTTCATCCTCTTGGTGTCTCTCCATTGGAAGTAAATCCTTCACTTCCTGGTCCATCAGTTCCTTTGGATTGGGATTCCGATTCTGGCCTGGAAAAAAGCGGTTGGGAACAATGGGGTGGGGAAAACATCGGGGAAACCAGTCAAAGTGGACTCAACCTGAAAATGGATTGGGGGTCAAATCACAATAACGATTGTAAGAAATTCAGTTATTGCCTGTTAGTAGCAACTTGCTGATGATTTTCTTATGTGCATATTTTAGTGGAGGTACCAACAAGAAATATTTGGAGGGAAGATTCTACTGAAGAAATGGACAGGAAAAATGACGGGAAACAAGAACCACAGATTTCTGGCGGATTCATCATTGATGTGGATACTGGTACGCAACACAAGATTTCATATACTTAGAAGTGATTGGATAACAAATGTTTCATGTAATAGATGTGAACGACAAGAAGACCCCTGAAGATTCTAATCTTTCAAGTGAAGATCAATCAAGGTTGATATTGGAACGTGCAAAAAAGGACTTGGAAGATGAGTTTTGGCACCCATTTCATATTCCACCCGGGAAGGATAAGAATATAAAAGGTCTGTGATTTTTTCATAGAATTAATGTTTTGGATTGATTGCTGAGTTTTTTAAAATTTCAAGATCAAGCGGCTGCACTTTCAGAAGAGTTTGCGAGGAGATCAACTACTCTTAAAAACAATACTACACTTTCAAAGCATGAGAAAGAGAAGAGTTAGTGTTTCATTAATTTCAAATCCTTTATTATTTTTATAATCAAACGTCGTCTTATATTGTATGTGTTATTAGATGAACAGATTGAAAGATGGAGGGAAGGGCCTCATAGGACACCAGGGAATCGGGAGGCTGAATCCTACCTTTCAAGTTTGAATCCACCTAATATGGCACCTCGTAAACGAATGCAATCCTTGCCTCTGCAAGGCAACTTCAATAAGAAGGAATTTGGGACTCTAATGAAGGGACCAAAGCGGATGCACGAGGAACTTATACCAAGTAGGCAGAGACTAATTGACACAGCTGTGCGAGAGGGGGGGGTGTTCATTTCAAGGAAGTTTGGGGAGCCTCTCAAAACAATTTCAAAGAAAGGTGAGTTTACCATTTTTCAACTTACAAATTGATAGCAACCTTCAAATTTGATTGTTTGACTTTATGCATGAAAAGTGGTGGAAAATTCCAAACGAGTGCGTCTTGATCAAGAGATGCTGGGTGAAGGTTGGGGATGGAATGCGTCTGCAGCCCATTTTGGAGGTAAGTTTTTTTTGGTCAGTCTACGGATGTTTTTTATAATAATGTGTGCCTAAAATTGTTTCACTATGGGAAAGTTGGTGAGCCATCATCTCCAGTGGAACGGTGTGAAAAAGGAAAAGGAAGGATGGTCGACAGGGAAGACTTGGATGAAAACATGAATTATGAAGGTGTGTAATGAATCTTTTGGTGAAATATCTTCAAGTGATATAAAACCCTAATTTAACTTTGGATCAAATTATTTTGCAAGGTGAAACAATTTCGAGAAAAGATGTAATTGTTGATTCTACATCAAAAACTCACTTCAATGTTGGACCTTCAAGTACCCACCTTTCTTCAAGAAAACTACATCGAATTCCATCAGTTCCCCATCCACTTTCCAGGGAGATGTTGGATCCTAATGAAATCCCAACTTCAGATTCACCAATTCCGAAAAGACACGAGGCAAAAAATCCCAACTCCAATAACTCTGGTTCAACTTCGCAAATGGTTCATACTCAGAAACCACCGGACTGGCGCACTACACCGTTTTCTACTCCAAAAGCAACACTTTCTTTCCAACCTAAACCACTTCACCAACGGTCAACCTTTCAACAAAAACTAGTAAATGATTCTAAAAATGGAGGAAAAGGCGTGAGTCTGGATGGAGATGAAGGGGGGGGAATAGGTGGCAGGGGAGTTGGAAGCAGAGAAGGCAGTGGTGGCGGTGGTAATGGAGGAGGAGGAGGTGGTGGTGGTGGTGGTGGTGGTGGTGATGGTGATGGAGGAGGTGGTGGTGGTGATGGTGATGGAGGAGGTGGTGGTGGTGGTGGAGGCGGAGGTGGAGGTGGAGGTGGTGGTGGTGGTGGTGGTGGTGGAGGAGGAGGGGGAAGTGGAAGGGAGGATGATGAGAATTCTTCACCGGACGATTATGCGGCTGATTCAAGATCCAGGCGAAACAAAGGCCTGCGAAAGAAGCAATCAACTTCAGCAAAGAAGCAGACCCAAAAAGAACATATGAAGGAGCTCCGTGGAACGTTACCAGAGGGATCTGAACCTTTGAAGACTATTGTTCATAAACATACCCGGCTACTCCTTGGCGTTGAAGGGACTGATCTCAAAACATTACCTTTGCAACCAAATGTCGATGAACGAGATCTTGCTGTTCAGAGAGGGAAAAACCTTGGATTCAATCAACCCCATCCAACTGCACCAGCCAGTTCGAGCAATCATACCCATGCTTACAAGAGCTGGCTTCAAACTCAGTTACGAGATCTTGGTCTGACACGATTCACGTTTGACTGGGAAAGTTCCTGGAAACACCCGTTCAACCAGCTTATGGACCTAATCTTTTATCGAACGCTCCACATGGCCCTTCACTCTGGAGAATATAACAATCACCCTTGGTCACCCACTCATGAGACACACGCCATCATATCAGCCTTTCTCGAAAGATATTTTTGTCATCTTCAGACGCAGTGGAAGTTGCTCCAAAAAAATGGTGAAAATGCATTGGATGCACAGAAGGCCCGGAACCGAGCTTTGAAGATGCGTGCAAGAGTATGTCAAAATTTTCTATATTTTATATTATATGTTTATGTTGATTGGATTTTTTTTTGTGATTTATGTGCTCTATTCATTTGGATCAAGATTTGTGAAAGAAGACAGCAGTGGTGTGATGAAAATGGCTATCCAGAACTAGCAGCTCAGTTTAACGACCCAGCAGTTTGCTCAGATACGGAGGAGATAGTAGTTAATGGTGTTACCAAACACAGGAAATTGAAGTTAAATTGGAGGTCTGACGGTTTTTCAGCACTGGTTAAAAAAATTGATCATGAAATCCAGGTTGGCACTTTAATTGGAAAATCAAGGAGGAAGAAGCAGTTTATATCTCGGGAAGATGGAGAAAAGGAGGAGTTGACTCCAAGGATTCCGGAGAAGCTCTCAAAACAGGTATACAAAGAAGAATGGTTAGAAGTCTTGACACCAGGTACTATTGAAAATCTTAAAATAAAAAATGTTCAAATCATGACTCAAGATTTCAAGCCATATACTTCTCATGCAATGTAGTCTTTAGTTATTCTGTGATTTTTGTATCTGTTATATTACTTTTATCTTGACAACATTTCTTCCAACAATTCCCTCCAATCAGTAGTAGCTAAAATTGTAGATCTAAATTTAGACATGTTGAAAATTAACCTCTCTTGTATCCTCAAATGAAAATTGGAATAACTTACTCGGTCAACTGTTTCTTCCTGTTTTGAACCTTTTTGTTCAATATAAAATTAGAAAAAATAAGATCAAATTTCTCAAAGTTTATGTAAATAATTGAATCTATTGAACTGACAATGAGGATCTTCTCTTCAATTGTTTTGGGAGTGATAAAATGGAATACCTGAACTGTTTTTTTCTGTCCAATTCGGTGAAGGCGGTCAAATGCCTGGGCTTCAACAGTTGGATTCCAGTGGGGTTCCTACACAGGGACATTCAACAATCTTCATGAGTGCATTGGCATTAATCAAGACTCACCATGATGAAGGCAATACTGGCGCAAGTGATGGTGAGTCCAACACCAGCAGTTTGCAGTGAAGCCAAAAGTAAATGTGTTTATGTGCTGCTCTTGAAATTTGCCAGGCATTGATCCTGCATTCTTGAATCAAGTTCACCATCCAACCGAAAGAATGATATATCATTTTTTTTCAGTGCTATTCCGATCCTTTTTTTAAAAATGAGAAAAGATCAGATTTTCCAAATTGGACAAGATTTCCTTTTTCAGACTCACAAATCCAGAAACCTTGTCCATGTTGAAAAAACAACAACCTTTGTATTGTTTTTCATAAGTGGTGAATCACAGTTTAACATTTCACATAGCTTCAAAATCTTTTCACTTGCACAGCATTCTTCATATGAGACACAGTGATTGATTGTCTGACATAATTGGTTTGGGGGGAGAGGCTCCTTTGGCTCAGTATGATTCACTTCCATTTTTCCATCATCTGTTATTCTGAGGTTAGGATTTGAAAGTAGTGGATGATCACAAATCCCTCTGAGACTATGCAGATAAGAAAAAAAACTTTTTTCCTTGTTCTGTTGACTGGAGGAATTTTTGTTGTTGAAATCCTTGAGGAAGCTTTCAAACTGAAGATCATAATATTTCTGGACAGGTCCGTTCATAGGTACAAATACTTGATTGTGGATGATTTCTGGGAGACTTTTCAATGTCAATCTTTTGATGTGTCGCAACATTACATGTCTAAGGATAAGCTGCAATGGCTTGGAATTTCCATGCTGAAGATAGGGCTTTAGGATCTCAGGCCATTGGTTGGATGGAGTTTTCAGGTTGGAACAGATGAAGTTGAGGAGGGCCATGAGATCATGAAGGCTATTTTGCATAGGTGTTCCGGTCAGGCAAAGTCTTCTTTCTGCCTTGATGGCATGAATTGAATTTTGAGTTTTGGATTCTGTTGTCCTTATAATGCTATTTTCAAAAGAGAATTCAGAAAAATTTAATCAAGCTTTCATCAAGCAAATAGCACTTACTGAGCCTCATCCAAAACAACCCTGAACCAAAATCTGGAAAAGATCAAAGAGTTGCCTGAGGAACCAGAACTTTGAATTTGATTGAATTCTGCCCGTACAATTTCATATGAGGTGATAATGATATTTGCAGATTCCATTGAAGTATTTGAAATCATGTGACGTTGGGGTCCGTGATACTTTAAATGTTGCATTGATCCCTTGTGTACATGTTGGAGTATTTCTTCTGACCAATTGTTGATTAATCTTGCTGGGCAAACAATGAGTGTTGCATGAGAATGAGAAAATTCTTTTTCTGAGAGTAGAATTTTGGTTGAAAACTCTTTTGCCAGTTTGAGAGATGTTGCAATTAGAGAAATAGCTTGTAATGATTTTCCTAAGCCCATTTCATCAGCTAGAATGGAACCTAGGGGATTCTCTGGTACACATGTGGGATTTGAGAATCCAATATAAGTTCCATTGATTTTGCTTTCCCAGAGATGCCAATCTCCTGTTTGACTTTTGGTCCATAATGACTGTGCAGATATGGAATGAGGTGATTCACGTTCAATCATGAATGAGAGCCCCTGTGCCTGGTGTGGCAGTAGCTTTGTTTTGATTATTTCTTGCGGTGGATAAACCAGATGAAGGTCACATCCACTTGGTATAGTCAAAAGGTTTGGATCAAAACTTTCATTGATAATTTTATCACTTGAGATCAAATTTTGTGGTAGGGCTGCCAGTTTACAGCCAAGATGCTGGCTTGGTTGATAATTCTTTGGTGCCTGTGGGAAGATATGTGATTTGATGAGCTGGTTTAAAAAGTTTCCAACATTTCTCTCCCTCACAAACATTGTGATTGCTAAGTTTATTGTGGCCATTGGCTTGCATTCCACTTGTAAGAGACATTCAACACATAAATCTGGAGTTGGAATCTGGGCCGATTGGTAACCACCAAGTGGTCCGTATTTACTTGGTGAATTCAATTTTGCCAGGAATATTGAGCTGAGGGGGAAGGGAATGTAGCCAACGGGTATATTGACATTAGGTATGTGAACTGCAACTCCATGCTTATGTGGTGTCAAGCAAGCCCAGTACGTCTTTGGGTTTTGAAAAAGTTGTCCTAATATTTCTTTTTTTGAATTTGAGAGTGAGCAGTAGACTACTCCAAGGCAAACAAAAGGATTCTCCATGATTTCAGAACAGATGGGAAATCCAATCTAAGTTATTAGGTTGATTTATTAAGGCTCTTGTGCGATTACATGCAATCGGACATGAGCTAGTTGAAACTGTTGATCAACTGGCCCATGTCCGATTGCATGCAATCGGACACGAGCGGGTTGATTGACAGTTTCAACTTGCCCATGTCCAATTGCATGTAATCGGACACGAGCGGGTTGATTGACAGTTTCAACTTGCCCATGTCCAATTGCATGTAATCGGACACGGGCCAGTTGAAGCTATTGATCATCCCGCTCGTGTCCGATTGCATGCAATCGGACATGGGCAGGTTGAAACTGTTGATCAATCCGCCCATGTCCGATTGCATGTAATTGGACACGGGCCAGTTGATAGTCTTGTTCAACCCGCTCGTGTCCGATTGCATGCAATCGGACATGGGCAGGTTGAAACTGTCAATCAACCTGCCCGTATCCGATTGCATGCAATCGGACATGAGCAGGTTGAAACTGTTGATCAGTCTGCCCATGTCCGATTGCATGTAATCGGACACGGGCCAGTTGAAACTATTGATCAACCCGCTCGTGTCCGATTGCATGCAATCGGACATGGGCAGGTTGAAACTGTCAATCAACCTGTCCGTGTCCGATTGCATGCAATCGGACATGAGCAGGTTGAAACTGTTGATCAATCTGCCCATGTCCGATTGCATGTAATCGGACACGGGCCAGATGAAACTATTGATCAACCCGCTCGTGTCCGATTGCATGCAATCGGACATGGGCAGGTTGAAACTGTCAATCAACCTGCCCGTGTCCGATTACATGCAATCGGACATGAGCTGGTTGAAACTGTTGATCAATCTGCCCATGTCCGATTGCATGCAATCGGACATGGGCAAGTTGAAACTGTTGATCATCTGGCTCGTGTCCGACTGCATGCAATCGGATACGCGCCAGTTGAAACGATTGATCGTCCCGCTTGTATAAGTATTTTGTTAAATGTATGGCTGCGTAGTATGTGTGCATGGATAAAAAGCTTTTTTGAAAAAATAAATTGAAGGTTTTGCAAATTACAATAATGATAAGGATGATACAGTTGATCATACAAAGAAGGAAGAAAGACATTGAAATTCAATCTCAAGGAAAGTAAGCACAAACAAACAAAAAACTAAGAAGAGCTCATCGAGATATCAAGAATCCAAGGATTCTGTTCTAATTGGGGCAAGAAAGACTGGAGAGATTCTTTCTTTTCGACATGGGCTAACACATAGTGATTCTTGATATGCTCAACTTGTTTATTACATTCAAGAGCTCTTTAGGTTCTTCCTTGTTCCTAGTTTTGAAACCATCAGCTTTGTTCAAAGCATCTAGAATTTCAGGAAGCTTGACATATACTCAAGAATTTACAGGTGTCGATTGACCGAGATGAAAGCAAGATTCTAGAGATAGCGCAGGAGCTCCAAGAACAATACACGAGTTCGCAGACGGCCCATATAGTGAGCCGACTACTAACGAACTAGATAGCGGATCTACAGCTGGAGTTAAACGGGTTGAAGATGAACCAGAAGGGTGAAGACGTGGAGCTGATGACGATCAGCGAGTCCACTGAGGCCGCCGGGGGCCTCGAAAATCAGCTGATGGAAATGGCCGCAAGACACTCGGAAAAAAATCAGGAAATTGGCAGGCCGAAGGCCCAGTTTGCCAAGGAAGTCAGCTCGTCGACCAGCTTAGGGTCAAACGTAACGCGCTTGAGAAGGCCGATCCCGAACTACATCTTCGAGTGAGCCAGCGCCTTGGATGAATCTTTTTGAGATACGACAGGAGATCGGCTAATGGCTCGAGGTTTCCGGGAGAGCCTTGGACGGCCAACGACCAGCTGGATAAACTCTTTGACGAGGGTTGATCTGATCTGTAAATCTGAATTCTCATTTGCCGAGAGGTGAGACACTCCCTCAAGAATGTGATGGCTCCCGTCCTGGACAATGAACATCTCGACCGTAACATTCCATTGAGAATCAAAGACGTGTTTCAGTTTTCCACGAACCTTCTTTAACCTCTGGGGCCTTGGTGGGGTACATTGGAGTGGACATGGTGAGGCTTGCAAGTCGTTCCGAGAGATCTTGTTGGTATTCTGGGGAAGTTCAAGACACCTGGGGCGCTTTTTTGGCCGGGGTTATTGCAACCTGGAAGATAGGGTGCCGAGTGCCACTGTTGTTGGTGTGGCGCCGGTGAGGAAGATGAGCGACTGAATAGCCAAGCAGTTGGGCTGCGCAGGAGTTTGGAGATTAAATTTCTTCCAAGATTGGGACTTCCAGTTGCGCTCTTTCAACCAAGGCGATCGGTCGAAATTCGCGTCATTCTTCGAGCAGCTGAATTGGTTATCACACTGGCATTTTTCGCCCAAGAAACTGGGAAGGTTTCCGTCGTCGATGTGTTCTAAGAGGGTCGCCTTGTAATCCTCCCCCAGAATGTTGATCTTTGAAATCGTCTCTTTTGATAGCCATGGCGTGACCGCTTTGAAGATCGTCGCAAACGACTTCGGCGCATTGATGATCGCTAGATATCCCATCCTTTGGCATGCATGAATCAAACAGATTATCAGTTTGCATCTTTTTGTTTCTGTTTTCTTTTTTACTTGAGAAGTGGTCACTCACGTTTCAGGATAGTAATCTTGAGAAATACTAAAACAAGTCCGAGCAATATTTTTGATCTGGAATGGCAAGATGCAAAAAAGAAGAGTGATGAGAAAAACTTGTTTTTTTTCCTAGAAGGAAAGAGAAAAACAGACAGACCTGCCATAACTGAGTAAGAGTGAAACCTTTGAGGTCGACGATACAAAAGGCGTTAGTGATTTTAGGGGATGCACTGGAATGAGATGATGAGGAGTTTGCTTGAGAATGGTGATCATGATCGGATTGAGAGGAGTTTTGCAGGTTGATCATTTGGTTCCGGTGACTACAGGCTGGCAGAATCTCTCGAGTTAAGGCTTCACAGTTGGCTACTAGGACCTTGAAATGGGATTGCTTGTCGATGACTGAGTACAGTTTACTCAAATCCAGGGAACCAAACATTTGGATGTTTACTGGTCGGCCAAGGTCGAACTTTCTTGCCTTCAAAAACCGACTATTCATGCTGGCTGCATGCATCACCAAGGAAGTTAGGAAAGATTAATTCAGTCAAAATTGTTGTCGCTCTGTCAAACTGATTATTACAGTAAAAAACAAAAATAACTAACATGAGAGTTTCATCATCTGTCCCCAAAGTTTCTGACGGCTTCAGATGCCCTTCTTCCTCGAGTTCTGACCTAAATGCCTTCAGGATTTCAATCTGATTGGGAGTTAAGGTTTCCTGGGACTGGGAGCTTGATGGATCCTGTGACCACAAGAACCAGAATATCAGTCATAAATTTACGGCAGCCAATGCTCCTATCAGGACATCCTTGCTCGTGTCCGATTGCATGCAATCGGACACGAGCTGGTTGAAACAGCAGTTGCCTTGCCCCTGTCTGATGGCAAACAGATGTTTTAACCGGCTCGTGTCCGATTGCATGCAATCGGACACGAGCTGGTTGAACAGCAGTTTGATCGCCCTTGTCTGATGATATTGCCTTGCCCATGTCTGATTGCAAGCAATCGGACAAGAGCAAGTTGAAACATCCATCAACTGTTTTGATCGTCTTTGGGAAGGATGGGGATGGGGGCTGTACAAAGGAGAGGTGTGATGTTTCACCCAGCCAGTTTCTAACTCTTCGTTCAATATGTACTCCTGTGATTTGTTGTTGTTTCCCCCAATCTCAGATCCCACCAAAAAATCACCCGATCAATTTCTTAATCATCTCAAATCTCTGAAAAACAGCATTTTTTCTCAACCAACATGCCTGAAATACCAACCTGTCAAGTTCTCAAACCAAGATTTAATCAAGCTGAGCATGAATTCAATCCTCAACATCCAGCCAAATATATATCTCAAGAAATCATGAGCTCAACTTCATGTGTTATCTTAAATATTGATCAAATGGCGCCTCATGAGGACATCAAATGTCCAGATGTCAAGCAAATCAACCCAACGCAGCAGTTTCTCGACCAAGCCAAGCACAAAATCCAACCAGATAAACCCACAGTCATTTTCACAAACTCCAATCGAGAACTTGGGCTTTTCGTTAAGCAAACGAGGTGGTCAGACATGCCTCCCGAAGAATATGAAGAAATCAAATTCCTGACCACAACCTTGGTTCAGCTGGGTCATTATTACAATAATCAATCAAACAGCTCCTTGCTTGAAGGAGTAATGAAAGGCTTTGGTTGGAGAAAAGGATACGGCCAAGACATGGAACACTTTGGTATGAGATTGCATTTTTTTACAATTGTTAAGTTATCATTTTACCCAATTCTAATCATGAATGTTGGTTCTTCCAAATCAGGAACATATACACCAGCAAAAGTCAAAACTGAGGAGGACTATAGAAAATGGAGGGCTCTTCTACTTCAACTGCCAATGGTCGAGTCAATAATATCCAGACGATTTCAAAAACTTGCACCTGGAGCATTTCATCAGTCGGTGGAGAAGATGAAATCAGCCAAGATACCCAGCTTTGCCTCCCCAGAATTTGACCAAGTTCCATCTTTACCATTCGCATCCAATCTCACAGCCACCTGGGGGGAATTCTATAACCGAGCTCATATAGATAACAATGTCAGTTCTATTTCATATGGTGGATGGTGTGGCATCCATAGAAATTCAGGCCAGCCTGCCTCAAAAGAGGAAGGATTCGACATCGAATATGGTCAATTTTTTCTTCCTGGAATCTCAACTGTAGTGGACTTCAATGCCATCGATGGCTGGACAGACCTGTTTTGGGCATCAAATCTCCTTTACCATCAAACCGTAAGATCCAAAAGGCCCCACCAAAGTCTTTTTGACCGCTTTGCATTCTCAGTTCAGATAAACAAGTCACTCCATGATGCTTGTTTATCTTCTCTTGGAAAGACTGGCCAAACAATTGGAGGATTCAGTGCCCGTGATGCACAGGTGAGGAGGTTGATTCAAGGGTTTTGTGAGTTAATAAATTCAAATTTGATCCACTAAAAAAATAAGTAAATCCCCCATTTAAACTCCATTATTTGCCCATGGGGACCCTTGACAAATGAATCCGCCTTTGTTTCTATTTGGACCAAATAAAATTCATAAGCACAGAAGCATGTTTGGCAATAATGCATACTCTAATTCTCAATTTTTGCTAATATATAAACTCTCCCTCCCCTTCGAGTCCCCCCCCTCCAATCCTCTCAACCAATTCCTTTTCTTTCAATATCTGCACCGTATCATTTTTAAAATACTGACAGACTGCTTGAACATTATGACACCTGAACCAGATGACCCCACAATCAAAAACAACCCTGATTTTCCAGCTCATTCTTCCCCTTTGACTGAATTGTCTGAAGCAACTGAATACAACAATGATGATGATTTCCAAGAAAACGATGGTAAATTCAATTCTCCATTGCTTCCATATGAGTGTTTATTTTAAGCTCAAAGGTTCATTTTTTTTCTTCAGCATCTGCTCTTCCAGAACCCGTCTGGCCTGAAGTTTCAAACGAATCAACTTCAGCCCAAAAACCAGACCCGCCACCCCAGGCTGTCACCCCTGGAGGATATCTAAACGACCCAGAAGTATCGATCATCTCTGCAAAAGAGTTCTTGGATAATATCAAGGCCAAGGCTCAAAGGTTGGAGGTGATCTGCAAAGATACATCAATCCCACTTTCAGCTCGTCGTCTTATGAGAGATGCAATGAAAATCATGATCGATTCATCAACGAGTAAGTCAAAGGATATTTTTTACCCCAATTTATTTTGATATCCTTGATAAATTAAAAATTTATAATTTGAAAATCTATTCAAAGCTGTCCAGCAAGGAAAAAGTCTACCTGAAGATGAGGAAGTAAGGATCGGAAACAAGAATCTTCTTGGAAAGCGAAATAAGTCAAGCACCACTAGAAAGCCTTCAAAAAAGATGCGTCACCGGTTCACCTCTGGAGATTCCGAGAAAGAAGGTGCCACTGAGAAAGACAAAACATCGAACTCTGAGAAAGACAATCCGAACAATGAAGTGCCGGATGATCCACCCTCTGTTCCAGATCAACCCAACCCAAACCCAGTCATGGAAACCTCCGAAGGGAATCATCAAGTTACTCAAAGCTCTGTGCCGGTTGATTCACCCTCTAGTCTAGCTCCCAACCCAACCCAAGCTGTGGAAACCTCTGAAGAAAATCGTCAAAATCCTCCAAGCTCTACAGATGGATGTGACGAAACTGATCCAATTCAACAGAAGCCGAAATCTCCTTCCAGAACAACTGGCTGCAATGAATCAACAAGCAGTAAAAAAAATAACGATCATATTCATCAAAACGCACCCCCTTTGAGCAGAAATGAACCGGAAAACTCTAACCCAGACACCAATCCAACAAGCATCTTGAATTCAAATCAATCAGTCTCACGAGATTCCACTCGAGCCGAAGAAGTTGGAATTGCTTCAACCGATGAATCAACACCAATAAACTTGAAATACAGGACTGAACTTTCCCCGATTCATGAACTTTATGCAGCCACCATAAGCTACAATGCATACCACACGGCATTCGAATCAATAAATCAACTTTACTCCTCCAGAACAAATGGATTACTCCCGCCTACTGCCTATAGTAGCTTTCTATCCTCAAGGATTGAATTCAAACCAGTTAATGGAACATCACTCAAGATATGGCTTAAGAATCTGAGAAGAGAAGGTGAATTTAATTTGCTATATTTTTGAACTATTATCCAAAGCTCAAAAATAAAACAACACTGATTTTATTTATCTTTTAATATAGGCCCTGATTTGATTTCACCCGGATTTAATGAACCGTTCTACAAAACAGACGTTTGGTGTTTCCCTTCTAAAACCAGCATCTCGAGCCCTCCATCTCAAAGCGAAATGGGATCTGAACTTTTCACTCTGTTCACACATCTCTGTCATCCCGCCGAGGCAGTCCAGTGCAAGTGGGCTGCAATTCTTTTCCAGTCTATTGCACTTGTCGCAAAAGATATCAGCTCTCTACCGGTCTACAACAAGCCAACCGATCCCGCCAATGAACTTGGACCCGAACTGGCGATTATTGAATACTTCATACAATGCTTGAGTGGACCTGACGCCTCTCATGAAATCACCGACTCAACTTCATCAAAGGAAAAAGAAAACAAAATAAGCTTCAGCACTCTCGATAAGTTCATTGACAATATACATCAAATGCTGATTGCCTTTGCTGTTCTCAAAGCCAAGTGTAAATTGCACAAGAATGAAAAATCTCTCATGGCTCATTCAGAAAAGTGGAACAGACTTCCGAAAGAACATATCTCAAGACCCCATTATCAACTCTTAGCTTCTTTCTGTGTTTCTGGAATTCGTGGCCTATTTCTATCCCCATCTGATTCAAAGTTGGTTTCCGCATCCAAGTGCTTCTTATTGATCTCTGTGGTTGCAAAGGTAAACTCATTCCAGCCTCCACCCAAAAATTATGATTACGAACCTGTTTGGAAGAGGACCAATGCCTACATATGCTCCATTATAAACTCTGCTTTTTTTTCTTCTGATGACTTCACCCCTACCCGCATATCCCGCTATGATCTTGCTAAATATATTGTACTAGATTTTAGTGAGCATTGGCTTGAGTTCCATCCTGGAGGAGAACAAATCTTAAATGTTCCCAAGCGCTCAGGCTGCCCAGGAGCTACCATTAAGGATCTTTGACTATTGTTTTTCCTACATCCTATTTATAAATTCCTCAACTTAGTCTCAAACATAAATAAATAAAAACATATTCTTATCTCCATTATATATTGTTTTAGGTTCCATGTCCTGCTTATCTGAAACTTGAAGCAATAACATTTTCATTTTTTTCTTATCTTATCTCAGAGTCTGATCTTATCTCCCACATTGATACACGTTCTGTTCTTTCTTATCTGTCTCCTGAATAGATAATGATGGAAATGTTTTCTGATTTAACATGCAACAAATTTCACCGCAGAAGTATCTTCTTGTTTCACATAAATTTTGCCACCTGGATGTAGTTATAAAAAGGCCAGTCTGATTGACAAATTTCACCTCAAAAATTCACATCTTCCCCAAGAAATGACACCTTCCACTCCCCAAGGTCACATAATTTGCACATGTATCACTTGTGGCTCGAAGCAGCACATGTCTCCTTATGGTCTCAGGCCTGGTCTTTCATTCACCAAAAAGCAATATGAACTCCACATCTCAAAATCTGTTTCCACACAGCCACCACAGAAACTTCAACCAATGAATAATCCAATAATTTATAACTCACATGAACAAAATCTGGCACATCAAGTGATCCAAAAAACTCCCAACAATTTAATTTCCCAATCAATAACTTCAACTCCTTCTCACTTGGATAATGAAATAACTATATTCAACACGGAAGAATGGGCACAGTCCTGCTGGAAGCAAAATGAGCGCCATGTTGTATTCCCCATGGTTTTCACCTCAATACTCAGTCTTTCTCACAACATAAGCCGAGAATCTTCACGGTTTCTCCTGGAAGCATTGAACCTCCAAAATAGAATAGCCGTATCAGAATTTGCACCAGAATCAATTGATCAAATTGGCCAAATACCCCTCAGTACATCAACTATTTTTGATCAGCTGAATATCAACCCAAAGCTTGACATATATGCTTGTTGTCCTAAGTGTTTACATCTTGTTGGATTAGAAAGTGAAATAGATGATCCCAACATCACCTGTCAGCGCCATCTGAATAAATATGATGTTGATGATCCATGTCAGACCCAAATTGGGAAAATGAAAAGCTCAACCAATTTAAAGAAAAAACCTAGAGAAAATCAAGAAAAAAAATTTGAAGCAATCAAACACTTTGTTTATCAGCCTTTCAGAAGTTGGCTAGGAAGGATTCTAATGCAGCCTGGAATTGAAGAAGATCTGGCAATCCACCTGAAACAAAAAAATAAGTCAGCAATGACTGAAATTTGGGATGGATACATTTGGAAGGAGTTTTCTGGAAAAGATGAAGGCTGCACATTTTTATCACAAGATGGAAACCTAGCATTTGCACTTTATATTGACTGGTTTAATGCATTTGGAAAATCAAGCCGCCATGCCAGTCTGGGAACCTTGATACTTGTTTGCTTGAATCTCCCACCTGAAAAGCGCCTCAAACCTGAAAATGTATATGTTGCTGGAATCATTCCTGGACCCAAGGAGCCCACAACACCTCAATTGAATAACCTACTAGTTCCACTTATTGAAGAGCTTAAAATGTTGTGGAAGGGTGTTTACTTTTCCAAAACATTCAAGCATCCCCAAGGAAGAATAATCAGAGTTGCCATGTTGACAATTATTGCTGACTTACCTGCAATGCGTAAAATTACTGGATTCAAAAGCCATTCTGGAATAATGTTCTGTAATTTCTGCACTATTACCCAAGAGGAAAAGAATGAAGTCCATGCATTTTTGTGGGAAGAAAGAAAACTCAAAGATCACAAAGAAAACATCCAGAAGTGGCTGAATGCTACCTCTGATGCCCAACGTGAATCAATTTTCAAAGAAACTGGTGTCCGTTATTCAATACTTGAAGAGCTACCTTACTGGGATCCAACACGTATGATTAATCTTGATGTAATGCACAATATGATTCTTGGAGCATTGAAAGATCATGCTGAAAACAAGCTTCGCATCCCAGAGAAAAAATGGAAGGACAATCCCAAAAAAGCAAAACACTCAGATAGTGAAGAATCTGATAATGAAAGTGAACCAGAAATCTTTTACCATTACACTGAGAAGAAAATTGATTCAAGAGCAGCCAGGGCTTTGCACAGAGATGCAGCCCAAGACATCCAAAATTTACCAGCAAAAAGAGTCATCCAGCATGCATCAGCCAGTAGTAGTCATCAAACCCCACCTCAGAAAGGTAGAATAATGTTACCCCCAACTTCAAACTTGACAGAAAAGTACCATGATGATTTGGACTTTGTACCAATTACAACAGATAATCCAAGCTCATGTGATGATTTTGATTTAGATGAAGATTCAATTCAGAATTCATCCTCTTGGTCCAAGTTCAATCCAGAACTTTTGCAATCACTGTGGGAGCTGATAGATGATACCTTGATACCATCAGACTGGACAAGAGTTCCAAAAAACGTTGGTCAGAAAGGTCATGGAAGTTTGAAGGCAGCTGAATGGTTGATACTTTACAAGCTGTATATTCCCATGTTGATGATTATGAAAAAATCCAATAGTTCAAACCCTTTTACTGATGAAATTTTTCAAAACACATTTCATCTCATAAGTGCACTCAATATATCTACCAGTTGGGTTACTAATCACCAATCTGGTACTGACTTCACCAAACATTGGACAAAGTATCGCCAGATTAGCAAAAAAATCTTCCCAAATCAGAATTCAAAACCAAATCATCACATGTCATCACATATTCCTCAACTACTTATGCGCTGGGGTCCTGCTCCAAGCTCAGCAACATGGGCTTATGAAAGAATCAATGGGATTTTCTCAAGTTTTGGAAGTAACAATTGTGTTGGTGAGCTCTTCTAAGGAATTTTTCCAGTGCTATGTCAGTACCTGAAGCTGAAATTAAATTTTAATTTAGATCAAATTCCATTAACTATCATGACAAATATTTGCAGAACTTCAAATTTGAAATCACTGGTGAAAATGCCAAGCGCTCCACCTGAAGTGAAACACATAAGCAGTATTTTGGAAGAGGATCAATCCAGATATAATCACTCACATACAAAACCCATCCTTGCTGAAGAAGATAAATACCAATCCTTTGTGCAATATTTAAGGAGATCAAAACCAACAATCAATTGGATCCATAAGAATGAACCATCTCCACTCTCCAATTCCAACAATTCATTTTGTGTATCTCCATGGTGGATTTATCACCAAACTGTCCATTGGAAAAACAAAACATTCACCACATATAATAAGAATCCAGCAAACAGTATTATATCATACCACAAAAATAATGTTTCCAATTTTGGAAAGATAATAAATATCTTTACTGTGAATGATCCTTACCAAAAGATTACTGAATATTTCCTTGTCATCAATCCATTTGAAATCAATAAGGATTTCATGACTGATTGGCCACATCTTAATATGTACCAAGCCAGGGCCACTTCTAATCATTTGCTTATTACTTGTGAAGATATTGACTGTCACTGTGCCTGTTATGAAAAGAATACATTATTCCTATTGACAAAGCTGTATTTATCCTATTATTCAGATTAAGGAATGTTGATTTTTTTATTTGATCATTATAATGTGAAATATTCCATTTAAAATTATCCCAGGAATGAAATTTTGTTAAATTTAAAATGCTTTACTTGCAAAGCAGATGGCATTTTTAAAAAAGAAAATTTATTCTCCCAAGGGCTAGAGATCATCAAGTAAAATCACTACCAAGGTAAAAATGAAAAAAAAATTAAAAACAATTGTATCCTAAATATATAAGCAGAATGCCTGTAAGATTTAGTCCTCACAGAGTTGGATCAAGAACCAAAGAGTTCATATTTTATCAGAAAATATCTGGCCCACAAGCCCCCAAATTAAATCATAAATCTGTAGGGTCCTCAGATTTTGATAGAAATTCCTACATTTGGAGGTCTGCACATCAAATCTGAATCCCTTGCAGATGTTGATCTAGAGCCAAAAACTTTAGATTTGTGTGAAGTATTCTGGGCCTCAAGGCCAAAGTCAAATCTGCAGGGTCTGCAGATTGGGTAATTCTTGCTGATTACCCATTGATATCATTATATAATCAGAAAAAAATGTATAATTTCCAGTGAATCAAAAAATAATTTCTGGAGGAAATTCAAGTGAATTTCATAATATATTATGAGTGAATTCATTTTCTACTTCAGTGAAAAACAAAGTAAACTCATTCTCTGACTTTGTGAATTAAATGAGAATTTCTTTTTCCAGCCAGGTTATTTTTTGAGCATCTTTAAATGAGAGATTGGTGAATTGCAGTCACTGGCAGGCCAGTGCCCTGGAATTTCCCCTGGTGATACCTTTTATGCTGTAATTTCCCCCTCCTTCTCTAACATCTTAAACACTATTTATGTGTAATAAACTGTTTTAAACTAAATCTATGGGTTTGATCAGTCTTACCACACCGTAGGCAAGCATTCGCAATGCAGCCGTAATCTTCGTAATAGGCCTCAGACCCATTCTGCCACAAGCGTCTGGCTTCTGCCGAAAGTAGTCGTCCTGTTGTTCAACGGCCTCGGCAATCTTCAAGAATAACGATCGAGACATTCGGAACCGGCGTCGGAATATTTCATCATCATACAGAGGATTCACAGAAAAGTACTGGTTGTAGAGTCGTTGATAACTACCCTCAAAGTCCCAGGGTCGATTGGGCCGTTTGCCTGGTCTTGATCCTCCATGCACAGGTTGATTCTCGTCAGCTTCCATGTCTTCATAAAGCAAAAGAGGTGTAACCTCTAGAACCGCGTTGAGTTCCATCTTCTTCCTCGAAAGAAGTTTCCGTCGTCGTAGGATCAAATGAAGTATAACAGGATCGATTTCCATGTTTTGAGTTTAATGTGAACCTTGTTTATTGAATTTCTTGTGATCACATCTACCAAGGTCTCTGGTCTATCTAGGGGTGGATCGGGGGAAATAGGGGAACACCCTTTCACAGTCCTAGATTCTATTTTTTAGGACCTACCGGTGTGAGAGGGCCTTTGGCCCGGGAGCTAAATGCGCGCCGCAGTCGCGCGAGGTGGAAATTTGGGGACTTGGGTAGTCCCCAACGGTGGAGATGGTCTAAAGACTTGATAAATTTCAATTGTGAACTCCTCTAATAGAATTGAAGTATCTGAGACTCGAAATATCATCAAGTCAATCACTTTTTGCATCATACATATCTTTAACATACTGCTTGAAAGTTACGCATGTTCAAGTTCAATGAGGGACTAGAATATGACTCTAGATGACTGGTTGAAGGCGAAGTTGGCTTCAGTTGTGTACTGGAAAGATGTGGTGTTGGGTTGCTGACTACATCAGATTGATTTGTGAATCTGGCTGTCTGCAGGCTCAGAAATAGAAGCCAAAAATGTGGATGATCTAAGCAAGGGAAACTCCAATGAGTCTGCATTGTACTTGAGTGAGGTTTAATTTACCAACTTGGAATGCAAATTTGTTACACCCATGCGGTCACCTTTTGAGTCTCTTTTTTGTGCACCAACTGATCAAAAGATCTGAATATAGATTGATGCAGTAACTGTGCTGGAGGATATTGAGAGATTAAAAGCTCACGTTTTTGAGAAACTGGCAAGGGGAATTGGTCAGGAACATTAAGGAGCCCAGAGTGGCACAAGACAAGTATGCTTTAGATCTGCTAATGATTTACTCCTGTTGTTAAGTTGGTCTAAGGAGACTACTCTAAGATGTTCAAAATGTGGTTCAGCTAGACAGGAAGATAAGCAGATGTAAAGAGATAATGAAAATATGAAACTGGGAAGAGCATTACAACTGTAATGGATAAGATCATAAATCAATGATGAAATAGAAACAGTCGCATCAAAGGAGTATGATGAGAAATATATGAAGAGAGCAAGGGAGATTTCCGTATCACCTGAGGTGATGGAAAATTGAGATGAATCATGATGATGTGAGGAGAGAATCCAGGATAAGTCTAGAATTGCCACATATTTTAGTTTTGTTGGTGCATGAAAATCAACAGAAAAAACAAACAAATGAGTGACTGAATCAAGGAAAGTATATGTGTTTGAAATTGAAACATGAAAATTCTATTTTTTTGGTTATTTTTTGTTTTTATGCTGCTTTTTGTGTTTTTTTGGTGTGTTTTTTTATGTGTTTTTTACTGGCATTGAGAATGAATGCCACTTTTACTGAGAAATTAATTTATGTGATGAATTGAATTGAGAGTTTGAATGATCAGTACCCTCTTCAATTTGATATAAAAAAATCCAAACAAGAACTTTTTGAATCAAACCCAAGCATGTTTGGTGATTTCTTCATTTTGAAAGAATCACAAACCTGTTCTTCCAATCCCAGGATGTCATTTTTTTGTACTGTCACCCAAACATATAAGATTCTTATTTTCTGACTAAAAAGACCACTTTCTTAATCTGTTAATTTTTGCTTGTAAATGTTTGATTTGATCCTTCATTTCTTTTTGACAATCCTCCAAATCCTCGGTTTTCATTGTTAGATTGTTCCGGTATTCAGTTTGAATTTTGGAATTATAGATTTCATGCTCAATATATTCCAGTTCTTGCAGGGGTGATATTGGTATTTCAATGCTCTTTTTCTTCTTGAGAGGAAAACTTTCATTCAAATACTTTTTGAAACTCTCCAACTCTTGCAGAGCCTGGATTCTAGAAAACATCAAATTCAATCTCTTTCTTACTCCCTTTTGTTCAAATGTATCTTGCAATCTTTTGTTGATTGGTCTTTCTGATTGTGGTTGGGTTTTAAGGAAGTTTTCATCAACAAATTCAAGGATTTGTCCCATCAATTTCAAATCTTCACTTTTTCTCCAATTCTGTGCCCAGCATTGAGGGTCCACAAAGAATCCAATCAAATCCATCAGGTTTTTTTCAACAGCAATAACATCCACATATCCATTTTGGGGACCCCTCAAAGCAAAAAGAAGTCCAAGTCCTTGAAAAAAGCATTCTTTCCATTTTTCTGCCTCTCTCTGGATTAGATGATCACCAATTGGGTACTTTTCAACATCAAATTTAAGAAAAATGTACAGCAGGTTGGTCTTTGATTCAGGATCCACTTTTGATTTTTAATGAAAAATTAATGGAGAATGTCAATAAGTGTTAAGATTGATGAAAGTGAGAAGAAAAACAAAATGATGGTTATGTCTTACATACCTTTGAACATATTCAAAAAAGGTGATGAATGTCTGCTTGTCAATAGAGTCTTTCCATTTTCAAAAATTTTGTTTTTCTGCTCTTTTCCAGAATGGTAAAAATGCTGAAACATGTATTGGGCCATCAAAAGATTTGGTGATGCAGAGGGTGGTACATATGGTCTACACCACTCCACAAATAAGTTCTTAAAGCCAGCTTCATTTAACAAATCATGCTTGTAAACTAGCTCGACTGTTTGAATGTAAATTCTTTTGATGGTTATGACCTGTTTATCTTCATTGCAATCAGATGATGCAAAATGACTGAGTAGAGCTGCAGAGATATCTGCAAGCTCTTTCATCGGGAAATGATGTCTTATATTTTCTAGACCAGATACTGATCTTGTGTCTTCTGAAGTTCTTATTTGAGAGGGGAAAAAATGGGTATGGAATTTCAGCATTTGAAGGCAACAAAGATTTTTGTAACACTTATGTGATTCAAAAACCGATGGACTTACTTCTTCACTGAAGCAAATTCCCTGCTAAAAAATGCTGGGTTCACATTGTTCTGCCATGCCCATCCTCTCAATGAAACTTCTATATAATCGTTTAGACTGTTGAGAACAAATTTCAAATCTTTGGCCTGCTTAGTCAGGATTAGTTTTTGAGTCTGTTGCCTTTTCACTTTATAATCATATTCACGACTGCCAGTCTTTTTTTCTTTCAATACTTTCCTATGTTCAATGGCATTGATGAGGTTATCATGATCTTGGTTCAGCTGCTTAAATTCCTCCCATATATCTTTTGCCCACATGGTTGCCCAGTAAGGGTTGGATGGAGCTGCATCTGAGGAACCTGGTTTTTCACTCTGGGTGTTTACCATTACATTGTCCAAGTCTGTTTGGAAGACAAGCAAAACAAATATTAGTTGCTTGGAAGTATGCATGTTCCAAAAATGCAAAATGAGTGCTTACGTTCTTTGTATAATCCAGGAGTCGGCTTTCTCAACTGTTTCACAGAGTAGAAGTATTTCTCCATGTCTCCTGAAGGTAAATGCTGCTCCACATTTTTTGAGGAACCCACATAAGATTTGTCTCCATGGACCATTGGAGTTGCTACTCCTAATGCTGATGGGTTTAATTTCTCATTAGTAACAGAAGATAGCCAATTAAAACACTAATTTGTGCGTGTTTCGGAAAGTGCAGAAGGATGACATACGCTTTCCCGCCTCATCTGTTACCAGTAGCGCCTCACCCTTCCCTTTGGGAGCACCATTCATGCATTGAGTTGTTTGAAAGTAATACAGGCAAAGAACTATAACTTTTAATATTGGGAATCCTGAACACATTACCATCTTGCGGATATGGTACTCAGGTTTTTCTTGCAGAGGGCTAGTGATGAGGGTGAGTAGACTGTATCAGTTCACAGTGAACCTCTTTATAAAGTGGAGACTGAACAAGGACCAAGCCGTAGATTGAAGGTGGAGAGTTTTGTTTTGGGGGGGGACACCAATCTTGGATGTAAAACTTCAGGATGTGTATCCACGTCATTTTGATGAAAACATTGTACAACTGATGGGCCATGTTTCGAGCTCAATCATGAGCCGGCCCTGACTGAGTGATCAATTTTCCGGCACCATTCCAAAACACGCCCCACCTTTCTGATCGACTACGGTGTACCGAACATCAGACTGTGCGCATGCAGTTTGTATCAACAAGATAGCTATGTCGCGAGTGTTTTGGATAGTGGATCCCCAGAAAACAAAATAATACAAGGCCTCGTTGAGGATCCAAACCATCCCAAACCCGCAGGCAAACGTGATCCTGCTTACAGCTAGGACAGATCATTGGAAGTGTCTTCAGTGGTCACAGACTACAGTCTTGACAGCTGGTCAGTTGTAAAGAAGTAGAAATCAGTTTTATGAGGCGTCTCAGAATGATAAGCTTGCCAGAAATGCTCAGATCAGCCTCGGATGTTTGTGATCACAGTGCGTAGAAGCTACACGAACTGCCCACTTCTGTACACGGCCGGAGGCCTTCGACGACCTAGTTTCGTCGATTTTGCTGTACCGGTATTGCCAGGCTGATGCGAATCGAGCCTCCGAGATGTCCCTGCGACTCTGTTTGAGCCTGCGGAGGATGACGACAACGGTTGGGGGCGCCCGTATGTCCAGGCCGACCCCTCAGCATCGGCATCATGAGGCGTGCTTCACGCCCGGCCGGTGATGATTCGCCGGTACAAGGAGCCCCACCGTGATCGGGTCAAAGGCACAGGCACAGGCGCCGGAGCGGCCGTCGTTGAGAAACCCGGCGCATAACTATGAAGATGCGAGCAGAAGTTTCTGTTTGGCCATTCGGCTACCTCGGACTTTCATCGGGCGTGTGAAGTGGGTGTGATGATCTTCGAGTATGCACTGCAACACACAGCCTGGCTGCACAGCATCTTCGGTCAATACGAATATATAAACCCATCTGACTTACTTGACCAAGTCGAGAGAGGTTGGCGATAAGACAGAAGACCATCGAATCGAAAGAAGAACAAAAAAAAAAAAAGATGAAGGCCGACCATCAACATCAGCTTTCTGATCCATCCCAGTGGAACGCAAGTCTGGCAGAACTCCCAGCTAGACAATCTGAAGACGGCGTCATCCCGGCGTTTTTCTTTGTGAGTTCATCTGATTCCATCATTCGGCTCTGTTTAATTTACGCTGGGTTTCTTTGGCCTCGATTGGTCTTGACTAACAAGGCGCATGGCTGTCAGTATTTTACCCTTCTCAAATTTCCACTCCATATCTTTCAAGAGTCAAGAAAGCAGATCGATAGAACTCATTTTATCTATTTTTGTATCCATCCAGATCCAAGCGTAGTCTTCCAAAGCGAATCGGCCGCACGTCGAGGCTTGCAAAGTGTCGGAGGCCCGCTGCACAATTTCCTGAAAGACTTTGGCCCCGCACTGATGGAGAAGTACCGGCCGAAAGGGATCGTCGTCTTCTCGGCACACTGGGAGTCGCCGTCGAAGGAAATCAGAGGTCGGTCATTCTTTGTCGACGCTACTTTGATCTCGGCCAACCCTCATCGATGTCAGCTTGTCCATCCTATGAACTCATCCACATGACTTTTTTCTTTTTCCAGTTACGGATTACGGAGATGACCAGCCCCTCTTGTATGAGTACGTTGACGAAAAAAAAAGCAAAAAATAACCACATGATTGTCTTAATTGTCTTGTCGAGCTGACAAAATCGGTGCTCCACCAGTTACTACGGCTTCCCACCCGAGTTCTACAAAGCTCGATGGCACTCAAACGGTTCGTCTGAGCTGACCCAGCGGGTCCTTGCGTGTCTGAAGGAGGCCGGTATGGAGGCATCCCGAACGACAAGGGATGAGCCGCGGGGACGAGACGGCCTGGTGGGCCCGGCCCCCGGCTTGGATCACGGCGTATTCATCCCTTTCATGCTGATGTAAGTAAGCATCTAACTCTGTTTGCTAAGCTTCACATTACTCATCCTATCCCCTGGGCTCTTTTTTTTTTCTTTCGAAAGGTTTCCTGAAGGGAACGAGAAAGCATTCCCGATACCTGTCGTTCAAGTCTCCATGGACGGCTCCCTGGACCCGGAGCGAAACATCCAATTAGGCCAAGCGGTCGCTGCCCTGCGGTACGAAGAGCTGCTCTTTCGTCTTTTTTTGACCTACTAAACCCTTCAGTCTCTGGCCGGTGTGTGCCCATCCAGTCCTGACTTTCGCATACCCCCCTCCCGCTCATTCATTCGACCATGACATCGAAAGCCGTCAAGGCATCTTGATCCTTTCGGGCGGCGTGACCATCCACACCTTCGAAGATTTCCATGAGTGGCAATTTGAATCCTCTTCGGAAGCAGTCAAACAATTCGAGCGTGAAATCATCAACGCTTCGTTGAAAGAACCCGTAAGTTTCATTTCATATTTTCGTTCTCTGCAAGACATCCCAGTTGCTCTTCTCATTCATCTGGTAATTCTTCCCTGTCATGTTCTTCAATAGACTTCCGAGAGATTCAAAAACATGATCGACCTGACTCAGCTGGAAGGATTTCGAAAAGCGCACCCCCGAGAGGATCATTTTATCCCAATCTATATTGCCGCTGGAGCTGGTGGCGATCAAGGCTCGACGAAGGTCATCAGTGATATACATGGTCAGTTTCTTTCATTTTATTCTTCTCTAGTGACTGCTGTCCTGGATCAATTGAACCATTCACTATCTCCTCTCTCTCTCTTTCACTTGGATTATGCACGCACAGGATGTCAAACTATTGCATTCGGGGTTGTCTGAGAACGTGTCCCTTATCTATTTTTAAATGCGGCTTTTTGGATTCCGAAAATTCTCTCATTGTACCTTTTTGCACCCCAACAGATCATTTCAGTTTCTGTTTTTTCAGGTGTTGTAAACCTATTTATGGTCTCAAACTGCTTTTACATTACATCAATCATCCGACCTGTTCACCCTTTTCTCAAGAACATTTTATCCATTCCAATTGATTGGCAAGGTCTTCCCTCTTAGTATCATACACGGACAGTCAATGCTTTTGTGCATCTGCTTATTCATATAATGTTGGCCAATTGAATTTCAAGTTGAACAATTGAACCCCCCGCCACACACACACAAGGATTTTTCTTACTTTAACTGGTTTGTAAAAGCACCTCCCAGGAACAACTTTTACCAAAGCATGAAATCACTTGCCTATTTGTAAGATTTGAGGATCAAGATACTATGTTCAAGCATGCAAATCAATTCTAGTAAATAGTAGTGGATAGTGACTTGGATAATGAAAAGGAAGAATAAACTTGAAATCAATATTGGGAGAAGGAGGATAAAAAAGAAAGATATGAGAAACCAAATGAGTAAAAATTTTTCACTGCAAGAAAACCCCATTCAATTTCAGGATGAAAGTGGGTTGGGTCAACCCACAAGTGACCTGTGACCTGTAGGGTCTTGGGGTGGGTTTGGGTCAACCTTTTATGAATAAAATAAGTGAGCTGACCCGCAGGTGACCCACTTGATTCCTGGGGCCTTTTGTTTCTTTTATTCTGTTTTGTTTTCTTATTCAATTCTTTTGGTTTTTTGTCTTTATTCAATTCTTGCTTTTTTCCTTTTGAATGAAGGATTTTTTATTTATTATCCACTTTGGACCCTTTGTTGCCTTTTATCATCCCTGTTATGGTTTGCTGCCATTATGCCTTGTTTTTCATCTTTCTTTCTTTCTTTCTGTATTTTTTTTTTCAATGAATGATCTCATTTTTTCAGTGATTTGGTGGCCTTGGGGCTTGATATAGAGATTTTTTGTTAGTACTCGGGTACCTGTTGGTACCTTATACTATAGGTACCTGTTGAATTTTTTCAGAAAATAGGCAATAAAGTCAAAATCAGTTGAAAAGAATTTCAGAAAAAACTGTTTGTAATTGCTGAAAAAAAAAGAAACAAAAAATAAAAAATAAAGGAAAAATAAAAAAAGATAAAATATAAAATAGATAAAAAAATAGAAAAAATGGCCTTGAGGCTGGGGGAAACCCCAGCGTCCCAGCCAGGTTGACCAGAAGGGTTTCCTTCCGGTCAATGAGGTATATCTACCTCATTGATTGGAAGAAAACCCTTCTGATCAATGCACATTGCATTGTTGACCGGAAGGAATTCCCTCCGGTCAAAGAGGACGTGCCTTGTTGACCGGAAAGCCCCTAAATATATATATATATATAAACTAGTATCTGCCCCAAATTTTGGGGAGTATGACATGGTGATATTGTTTTTGCCCCTTTCAGGGGTGTTGCTTGAAGTTGAATTGAGCACCTGTCTTGGTCCATTGTTGGTGTCAAAAACTGTGAATTGGAGGTCAAGGTCAGCAATAGCATTAGATTGCATGACACTTTGTTTGGCTCTCTGGTCCTATTCTTGTATTTATATGTAGATAATTCTCTATTAGAATAATGAAAAGAATCAAGATTTAGTTACCACTCACACTACAGTGTGGTAATTATTCCTGTGTTTCTACGCCAAAAATATAAAGATTTATTATTATCTCTCTAACTATTGAAGATATGGTAAAAATAACATCAAAAATGGATTCCTCATGTAAAATAACCCCTACTTTCTCACTACAACTACCCTCTTATTTCTACTAGTTCAGAAGTAACACTTATCTCAAGCTGTCACAGGAGCTTTTCTTTATTATTATCCGGACCACATCTCATTTTGAATACTGGATGAATATTTCATATTGAATCCCTTTGTATCATATTGAATTCCTTTACAGCCTATATTTCATATGATTCCTTTGTATCATATTGAATTCCTTTACAGGCTATATTTCATATTGAATTCCTTTGTAGGTGCACATGCATTCCTTTGTAGCAGGACCTTGTACGCTAGCCAAAATCCCTCAAGGCAGTGCTCTCACCAGCTAAATTCCCTCATTGGATTTTCAGGCCAGCTAAATTCCCTCACCTGAATGTACCCTGGAGCTAAAATCCCTCACTTTTGTCTATATAAGGAGGCCTCTGCCTGCCAGTTGTACCTTTCATCATCCCACCAGTGGACCAGATCATCTCAACCACCCTTACAATCACCACCCATTATATTACCAGTCACAGTCATATAACCACCCTTATTTTATTGCAATATATTCATAACACTTTCATATCATCATCATCATACCAAGTGCCCAGTCCCCTGTTCCATTCCTGGTTGAAGCATAGTGCTCCCAGCGCCCAGCGCCTTGGTTCCAAATCACCTCTTTTTAACTTTATATACCCTCGACCTCAAGGACCTGCGTTCAAGCCTCAACCTCGACAACAATCATTGACACCTCTATCAACAACTTCATCATCAACAACATCATCATCAACAATCACCATCAACACCTTTAACCATTATACGAATCATTTGACAGCTTCATCTTGAACTATCCTCTATCACGATATATAAACTGCCAAGCTGATCTTGGTGGTCTTGTTGTTCTGATAGCATAGAAGGGCAGAGCTTGCAACTCCACCATCCCCTTCTCCATCCAGCAAAAGGGTTTCACAGCCACTTTTGAGTCTTACAACGGATAGCTGGAGGAAATTGTTCCACATCTATCCTAAGAGATTCACTGCAAAACACCTCTGAAATGAGTACCAAATTAATGATTATAGTGCGAAATGGATATAGTCCATGTCAGTGGCCCGTGAAAAGGATTTTCAGAATTCAACTCCAGTTGAGATAGTTGGATTCTGATCCATGAGGCTTGAGTTGTTCAACAACTGTCAGCTTAAGAGTCAGATGAAACAATAAGCTGGAGTCTTTTGTCAATGACATATCAGGCTTGGTTGGCTGGTAGAAAATTTTTGATTGAGAGGAAGTCAAGAGTGATTCTTGCTTTGGGGAATTAAACAACAAGGTCAATAGTGTACATTCCCATTTGATGTATGGTGAAGGTGGTGAGTTCATGCAAGAAGTGCTTTCATGGTAAGCATACAGATCCTTATTATCACCTCAGAGTCTCAGTTGTTGCAGCAAAATGGTGCGCATAACCTGTGTGATAGACAGGTTTGTGGAAGAATGATCTCAATTTCATGAGTCAAAGAGACAAACAGAAAGATAGAGCCAAGAGAAAAGGAAAGAAAGAGAAATTAAAAAATGACTGGAACAAAGTGTGAGGATTGTGGAAGGATGAGGAGAGAAATTCTTGCACATACTCTGAATCTTGTGACACATATGATGAAAGGTGAGAAGCACAAAAAAGAAAACAATACTCCAACAGCTGAGTTTAGAATTCTGACAAATGTTGAATTTTTGAGCTCTAGATCGGTTGAATTTGAGATTTTTGAGAAGAGGGCACAAAAAAGGAAGGACCTTTTTTGGGAATGGTTCACGAAAAAAGAATGAAAGAACCAATGAATTTTATTTCTTGTAGTTAGCCTGTTTTAAATAGACTAAATACAAAAGGTTAAAAATGTGGTTGAGGGAAATTGAATAAAAGATGAATTTGAATAAAAACTGAGAGGAAGGAATGAATGAGTTCATGGAAGAAACAGCCGGACAATTCTTCTCAGTCTCTTTTTAGAAAAGCTAGCAAATTAATCATGAAAAAACAAACACACAACCACAAATGAATAAGAGGCGTTAATTCTTATCAATCAGTTTTTAAGGAATCAAATAGTGAAATGGAAAAAGAAGGAAATCAATCAATAAGACTAGAGTTGTCTGAAAATTGCCATGATGAGTTCTAATTAGCCTACAATAGAGCATAAGATTCAAGACAGAAAACAGCTGTGATTGAATATAATTCAGTCCAGATCAAGATGATTAAAGAAAGATAAGAGGAGAAAAAGTGAGTAAAAAGAGGGAGTGATTTGGGGAGGAGTAGCCATAGAAGTTGAAAACTCAACAACAAATATGAGCTTTGTAGGTGCAGCTATTCTCAAAGAGCAATGGAAAAAACAAACAAATGTGAGTGACTGAATCGAGAAATGTATATGTAATTGAAATATGAAACTTCTAAGTTTTTGCAGTTACTTTTTTGTTTTATGTTGATTTTTTTATTGATTTTTTTATTCTGTTTTTTTGCTGGCCTTGAGCATAAAAGCCACTTTTCCTGGAAATGAAATTTTCTGATGAATTCAAATGAGAATCTGAATGATCTTCTTTCTTCAATTAAATCTGAAAACTTTAAATAGAAAAACTTTTGAATCAAACCCAGGTGACAGCATGTTGTTTGATTTCTTTATTATGAAAGAATCAAAAACCATTCTTCCAGTTGTAGAATTTCATTTATTCTTACTGTTTCCCTAGAAACCCCAGATTCTTGAATGTGAATTTTCTGATGAAGGATACCGTCTTCTTAATTTTTTTATTTTTTCTTCTAAAGAATCAATTTGATCCTGTATTTCTTTTTTACAATCTTCCAAATCTTCAGTTTTCATTGTGAGATTGTTCCTGTATTCAGTTTGAATTTTGGAATTATAGATTTCATGCTCAATATGCTCAAGTTCTTGCTGGGGTGATATTGGTAATCTAATTCCTTTTTTCTCCTTGAGAGGAAAGCTTTCTTTCAAATACTTGCTAAAACTTTCCAGCTCTAGCAGAGCCTGAGTTCTGGAAAACATTAAATTTAATCTCTTTCTTACTGGATTGTGCTCAAATTGATATTGCAATCTTTTGATGATTGGTATTTCTGATTCAGGTTGTGTTTTGAGGAAGTTTTCATCAACAAATTCAAGCATTTGACCCATCAATTTCAAATCTTCACTTTTTCTCCAATTTGTGGCCCAGCATTGAGGGTCTACAAATAATGTAATTAAATCCATTAGGTTTTCTTCAATAGTAACAACAGCTACATTTTCATCTGTTTGACCTCTCAAAGCAAAAAGAAGTGAAAGGTCTTTAAAAAAGCTTTCTTTCCATTTTTTTGCCTTGTTCTGGATTATATTATCACCAAGTGGGTACCTTTCAACATCCAATTTCAGAAAAACATACAAAAGGTTGGTCTTTGCTTCAGGATCCACTTTTGATTTTGAATGAAAAATGAAACAAGAATGTCAATAAAATTTCAGATTGATGAAAGTGAGAAGAAGAACACAATGGTTGTCATCTCTAACGTACCTTTGAACATATTCAAAAAAGGTGATGAATGTTTACTTGTCAATAGGATCTTGCCATTTCCAAAAACATTGTTTTTATTCTCTTTTCCAGAATGGTAAAAATGCTGAAACATGTTTTGAGTATACACCAGATGAGAGTAGCGACTAGGGCTACACCATGCCTCAAAAAACCTCTTGAATCCAGCTTCATCTAACAAATCATGCTTGTAAACAAGTTCAGCTGTTTGAATAGAAATTCTTTTGAAGGCAGTGACCTGTTTATGTTCATTGAATTCAGATGATGAAAAGTGATAGAATATAACTGAAGAAATATCCAAAAGTTCTTTCATGGGGAAATAACGTCTTGTATTTTGCACACCAGTTACTGATCTTGTTTCATCTGAATGCCTACGTCTAGTTAAAAAATGGGCTTTCATTTCAGTGTTTGAAGGCAATTGAGATAGGTTCCATGTTATATGATTCAGAAATGGATGGACTTACTTCTTCCCTGAAGCAAATTCCCTGGTAAAGAATGCTTGGTCTAAATCATTCCGCCATGCCCACTCCTTCAATGAAACTTCTATATAATCATTCAAGCTATTGAGTACAAGTTTTAAATCTTTGGCTGACTTAATCAGGATTTTTTTCTTTTCAAGTTGATTCTCCACTTTCTCCCAATAGTCATCACTTTCATATGGTATTCTTTTCAATAGCCTACTCCTCTCAATGTCATTGAACATTTTATCATAATCTTGGTTCAACTGGTTAAATTCATCCCAGATATCTTTTGCCCACATGGTTGCCCAGTAAAGATTGGCTGGAGCTGTGTTAGAGGAACCTGGCTTTTCACTCTGGGTATTTTCCATTACATGGTCCAAGTCTATTGGAAAGATGAAGAAACAAAGAAATCAGTTTCTTGGAAGTATGCATGTTCCAAAAATGTAAAATGAGAGCTTACATTCTTTGTATAATCCAGGAGTTGGCTTTCTCAACTGTTTCACAGAATGAAAGTATTTCTCCATGTCTCCTGAAGGTGAATGCTGTTCCGGGTGTTTTGAGGGACCCACATGAAATGTTTCACCATGGACCATTGGAGTTGCTACTCCTAATGCTGATGGGTTTAATTGATCATTAAAAGACAGTCAATTAAAATCATAAAATTGGGGGGTTTAGGAAAGTGCTGAAGGATGACATAAGATTTCCTCTGTCATCTGTTACCAGTAGTGCCTCACCCTTTCCTTTGAGAGCAACATTCATGCATTGA